AAGGTTGCGGAGGACGGGCTGGCGAGGCAGTTCATGCTGCAGGTGGACGGGCTGGGGAAGATTGACGCGATTGCGGAGGTGAAGCGATGGTACCTGGATGAGCAGAGGGTGAAGAGAGGGGAGAGCGAAGCGCTACGGACCAGTGAGGCGATGGATGAGGATGATTGGGTGGATGATAAGCAGTTTGTGGCGTGGGTGCAGGGCACAAGGAGGAATGCGGAGGGGTTCAGGAGGCGGGTGATGAGTCTGAGAGGCGGGAGGCTGGCAGCGGTGCTAACAAGGGAGAGGGATGCTGGGAGCATTGCGGACGGGCTGGCACAGGCTGTGTCCAGCGTGCTGCAGGCGGTATGTGTTTGTTTTTTTTTGTTTTGTTTTTTTTTTCTTCTTCTTCTTGGTGCCTCTAGAAAAGGCTGGCACAGGCGGTGGCCAGCGTGCTGCATGCGGTAAGTGCCTTGCCTTTGGCTTGCTGGCTTGCTGGCTTGTTGCTGCTGTCCACCTGGTTTGTCCTGTAGCTTGCATTCCATGCCTTTCGAATCCTTTCAATGTTTCCGTAGGTAGCATGCCAAACCGTTCCCTAAGCCTCCCATCTCCGTTTTTGCCTGACTCATGCTTTTCCTGTGTGTTCCTGTTGTTCTTGGTGTTTTTGTTCGTGTCTTGTTCTTGCTTCTTGTGATTCCCACCCTACCAGCTCCCTGCAAGTGCACGCAAGGACGCTTCTGCCAAACTCGCCCAAGTGCTGGGCCAGCAGTGAGGCCCTCTCGGCCCTGGCTTGCCTTGCCTTCTTGCTCCTGCCTGACCTGACTGGTGTTTATGCCAAGCGTTGGGGCAGCAATGAGCAACGAAGCAATCCCCCTCTTGCCCGTCACTAGCCATCATGACAAAGGATATGCCACCACCACCAGAAACGCCTTGCATAAAGTCAGATCTGCCACCACAAACACCTTGCATGCAGTCGGGATATGCCACCATACAGTGGGGATTTTGCCACCACAAAGGCTTGCATGCATCGAATGGGAACCGAGGTCTGTCTGTCAGCAGTAGAGCAGTTCATCCAGCATTCAGGCAGCCTAAGGTGGAGAGATGAGAGTGTCAAATCTGTTTGCCATTAGCGGAGGCAGTTCATAAAAATATAAGGATAAAGAAATATGTTTATGCTGTTAGACTTTACTGTACACTTCTCCCAGCCCTCCAATAATTGTACAATTATTGGAGGGCCATAATTATTGGAGTCTAGAATTATTGGAGGTACAATTATTGGTGTAGATGGATGGATGTGGGCGAGGTAGCTGATAACATAAATACCTTGTTGTTGTATGGTTTCATAATCTATATCCTCTGTTCTCAATCCTTTCAGTTGCAAGTTTCTCTTGCCATTTATCCTACAATCAAAGCTTCCGCTACAACGGCTCTATGCCTTACTATCATGGTATCAGAGCTACTCTAGGGGGCATTCTCCCAAAATTCGGTCAGGAACTTTATCAACAACGTTTGACAATGATATCAGCAAGTTAGTGTCAAACTGTTAGGGCGTATCTTTGGTTCCGGTCATGAGCACTGTTCATTCAACTGTTTGGGGCATCCGCATTTAGCGCATGACCCAAACTGGACTCTGGAAGCGCCCGTGGTCCGAACTTCGGGTCATCCAGCAAACTGCATGCGACTGGGGTGTTCAATGTGTCCCCTACCAATCAGATTGAGCTGCGACCCCAGGTTGGGTCGCCCTCTTTATACGGACGTTTTCTTTCATCTCACGCCCGTCAATCAGGGCCTCATATTCACTTTTAGGGTCGTCGACCCATCAGGGTACCCTTGTGTAGAAACCCTGATTGATAGTATTCCTAAAAAAATAAGCCTGAAATATCAGTGTTGCCTTTGAAAAAAGGCTGATGCATCAGTGTTCAATAATATAAAAGGCTGTTATAATTAGAAATCTCTATTTTATGTACTAAGTCAGTAGCAGCCTTCCGAAACATTGCTAAGCTAACATGCCTCATGAATCATCACCAGCCATGCTATCATCACTACCCTTAGCCTTTGGTTCTTCTCTCTCCTCCTCAGCTTGGGACACCAGTACGTGATAGTGTTTTTTGACACACACACCCCAGCTTCACTTCTGCTTGCGACAAATACACGTTGAAGCTGCAGGGGCAGGGTTGGGGGGAGGAACCGGATTGACAGGCAGGGTGAGGCAGGGAAAGAGAGAAAAGGAGGGAGAGAGGAGGGAAGACTAGCACGGTTGGGGGGGAGACGACCAGGGGAGAGAGGGAGTGGACGGAGTGCGGGGTAAAGGGAGCGGGGGAATGGACGGCGGGCGCGCGGGTCATGCGCGGGTCATGCCGTCGCGCAGCACGACGCTCTGCGCTGTCAGAGGTCCACTGGTGATCCCCGATTGATCCTAGGGAAGGGTTACAGGCTCGCTAGTCTGGGGGGTTATGGGCGCACTGACCCGCTACTTAACAAGCCCTTTTATCCCAGTGGTCTAGTGACTGGGATTCTGACATGGTATCAGACCGGTCTCGGGTTCGAATCCCAGTGTGTGCACTTCGAGCATCCCAGTGCGGGGGGGTGTCAGAGGTCCACTGGTGATCCCCGATTGATCCTAGGGAAGGGTTACAGGCTCGCTAGCCTGGGGGGTTATGGGTGCACTGACCCGCTACTTAACAAGCCCTTTTATCACAGTGGTCTAGTGACTGGGATTCTGACATGCGCACCACCCGCGGCGCAGATGGCCTTTCAACCGCGGTTCGTGCTGGCGACGAGGCAGCATTCGGTCATCGCCATTAGCACGAAAAACTACGCGTCATCGAGTCGTAGCGGGCCTACGACACCGACGGGAATTGCCACGTGGCCGACGACCATCTCGCAGCATGCGCTGCGGATCGCGTCGAACGGGAGCGATGTGTTCGGCGAGACAAGAAGAGGTTCGGCGGCGCTCGCGATGGGTTCGATTCCCAACATCCCGCCGTTTCTGGTGCTGATGGCGCCATGTATTAGTGCAGATGAGAAAGCACGAGAGGAATCAGGCTGAGAGGGAGGGAGAGAGAAACAGGAGGAAAAGTAACACGAGAGATTGGATTGGAGGGAATGGGAGCATCAATGCTTGCCAGCACAGCCAACGGTGTAGGAACCCTCGCAGCCCTCAAGCACCACATGGTTGCCACATTCCGATTAGCCAACGCTTTATGCTGGAGCGAAACTGCCCAATGGAGTGCTGGCACCGCAGGAACATGAGATTCCCTGTAATCGTGGGCAAATCCACACGGAACAAGTAAGAATTGGTTTCAGTGTTAGTTTCGTTACAACGTTGTGGAATCAGTGTACTTACGAAAAAAAGTCTGAAATTTCAGTGTGGCCTAACAAAAAAGGCTGAAAGATCAGTCCCACAAAAATCTCAACACTGATTTTTCAGCGTAGGTAAAAAAAGGACTGCCAAAATCAGGAATTTCAGGGTTTTTTTCCTGATATCCGAGGCTCTGCCGTCAATGTCCCATATACACCAATAACGTCCAACTCAATCAAGTACAACTGACGTGACCATGCTCACCAATACAAGCCCCGACACCACAACATTTCTCGCTCTCCCACGCTCCGGACGCCATGTTTACAAGCACAAGGCGGCACCACAACAAGGCTCGTTTCTCCCACCGCGGTGCCAACATAGCGGGTGACTTGAGAGCACTTTTCAGCTCAAGATGGCCGCATGCAACTTTCATCGTCGCTAATCGGGTTGCCATAAACCATGCTCACAGCACATGTGCTCATACTTTGTGTTGCCTTACACCTGTGGCATGAGTACCTTCTCAACTCGTGGCAGCGTGTAGTTTCTCTAGCCGCTGTAGAGTTGATATCCACACTCCTCCCTATGGCACAGACCGTGGATCAGGAGCGCGTGCTCCGTGAAACCGAGCGCCGCGAGAGTCGGAAACGGACTCGCCAGGCACGGGTCGCAGAATGGGCTGAGGAGATCCGCACGATGTTTGACGAGGAGTTCGAAGATACCTTCTGCATTACTCGCGAAGTCCTCGACATCATTGCTGACAAAATGAAGTCTCCCATGTCTAGTTTTGTCGAAGTGAATGATGTTCCATTGTGTCTTTGCTGTCTCATCCCGATTAAATACTTTGCAAGTGCTATGACATATCACGACATGAGTATAATGTTTGGACTGCCCAGAGGACTCATCCACCGCATGGTAGATGCCTTCTTGGTGTGGTTCCCCCGCAAGTTCAAGCGCGACTGGGTGCAGTTCCCATCGGAGGAAGTGAGAGAGAGGAGATGGCACTCGACTTCCGCGCAATCAAAGGAGTGCCCAACGTCATCGGTGCGATTAACGGGACACACATTCAGATAAAGGGCATGGAGGCCCACCGTGGTGACTATTTCAACCAGAAGTCGGTCTATAGCGTGCAACTTCAAGTTACGTGTGACTCAAAGGGTGTAATATGGGATTACATGGTTGGCAATCCTGGCTCAATGCATGATCAAGGTGTTTTCTCTACATCAGATCTTCATGGCAGGCTAGAGAGTGGGGAAATCGCCCCCTATCAGCTTGTGGGGGATGCGGCCTACCCTCTGAAGTCCTACATGCTCACCCCCCTTCACGCTCCACGACGACGCCTGATGAAGAAGTGGGAGTAGGCGTACAACTACGTCCTGTCTGCTACGCGCATGGTGGTCGAGCGCACGATTGGCGCACTGAAGGGACGCTGGAGGCTCTTCGCGCGCAGGCACGAGAGCAAACTCTGGCGCGTGTGTGCAGGGACGGCCTGCATCATCATCCTGCAGACCGTTAGTACGCTGAGGATGAAAACGAACAACCCCCGCCGCTATATATGGGCTGGACTCCCGAAAGGCTGGTGGACGAAGAGTGGCATGGATAAGTACGAGTGGCGGAGCCTAGACAACCCTACGCTTGCCGATCTGTGCGCTCGCCGGCACCACTTCGGCAAGCACATCCATCGCACTTACCTCCGGTGTCACCGTGTGTCATCCACCGCGTGCTAAGGCTCGTGCTGCTCCGCCACATCCTCCGACCCCGCCATGTTGGCGTTGCTTGCGTCTGCAGGCGGTGCTGGTGGCGGCGTAGTCGCGGGCGCCGCAGGTGGTACGGGCGGACTGGCCATCTGCTGTCGTAAGCCAGCCATGGCGGCGACAAGTAGTTGCGTGGAGTCTTGAAGCTGGCGCAACGCCATCGCGTTGGAGGAATTAATGGCGTCGCTCACAAGCTTTGCTGTTGCCATTGTGGCGGTTTCGTCTATCCGCCTTCGTTTGGGTGGTGGTGTGACTACAGCATCTGTAGGGGTGGGTGTAGGGACGTATGGCAATAAGGCGGCTTTGATATTGTCTGTATGCTTGTCAGTGAAATATAGTATTAAAGCGCATGGCTTTAATGTTGCTCCTGGGAGTCACAACGCAGGCATTGAAGCATTGGCACAACTCACCTTGTGATGCCGCTCCACGTCGGTTTCCGCGTTGACGTCCCTGCGAGGGAGGAGCCGAGGTCTCCCCGACGTTGGTGCCGGGCACAGTAGCATACGCAGGGACGTCAATGTTAGCGGCACCTCCTCCGTCCAGTGCGTGGGCATTGGCTTTCGCCGAGTGTTTCTTCAGATGATAAACATAATCCCACCACGGCTTCTTCTTGAGTGTTTTTCCCCCCGCTCTGCGTCTCCACCCGTTTCGTTTTCAGGTACTTTTTTCTCGAGGCGTTTCCACGCATTCGACATCTGCCCCTCATCGCGGTTCCACGTGGCGTCCCTCTCAACCATATGAGCTCGCAGCTTCTTCCAGTACTGGCTCCCTTGCTTCCCTTGCATCGCCTTCAGGTCGTCCTTCGTGTTCCAACGGGCGGCCGCGAGTGATGTCAGCTCTGCGTCCGACCACTGTCGTTTGTTGCGCTTCGCCGACGGGCGCTTCTCCTTCTTCGATCGACGTGTGCTGCGGTCGTCACCGCTTCCTACTTTGGCACCGTCCGAATCTTCCTCTTCGTCGTCACTGCCGGCCTTGTAGTTGTCAGAATCGGCATCACTGTCCGATTCCGACACGATCTCCTCAAGCTCGTCGTCGCTGACGTCCGTGTCGCCCCCAGTTTCGTCGTAGTCATGCCCGGGACCGCTGCTAGTGCTGGCGCCAGCAGAGTCGCACTTTGCCTTTGCAATGGTAGGGGACGGCTTCCCCTGCTTTTGCTGCTCCTTCATCCATGCGACATACGGGGGGTCTTCCATCGGTTCATCGTCGCTAAGTTTCTCCTTTCCCTTGCCGCGTGCGCTTCGGCATGGAGGCATTGCTAAAAACGTAGATAGCGGGCTGGTGTGGAAGCTCGGGAACACTTGTGAGCGAGATCTGTTTCCTCATGCTTGTGCTGATTGTCCAAGTGCTCGAAACCCTTGCGTGGGGATGTTACAAGAGGGGTGTTTGGTTGGGTTGGGATCTGGAGCCGCACAGATCTGTATGTAACTCTTCCCACAGGGAATTTTGACGGAGTTGAGGGTGGGGTGAGTGTCGCTCCACCTGGTGAAAGAGTTCATGTGTCATGGAATGGCGTGTCTCAATTGGATGCGACTGTTGTGGGGCCCGAAGTTTAGGCGGGAAAACCCACGCGCCAGTTTGGGGGTCGCATGAAGGCACTGGATCCAAAGTGGTGTTTTGTGTTGTTTGAGTCATCCGCAAATCGCGCACGCCCGGAACAGTTACCATGACCCAAACCTGGATACGCCCTTATAGTGCATACATTGTGTAGGCTGTAGTGGGGTAGCCCATAAGGGGTACAACCCAAGTAGGGTTAGCATTTGTACCCAACATTCTGCTCAATCCATTCATTCTCGTTCTAGATTCTGATATGGTTTAAGAGCAGGTACTTCCTTATGACCGAATTTATTTTTAGGGCCCACCACAGAGCTGCCCCACTAGCTGCCCTTCCGCCCTGCCCTACTGGCGTGCCGCCCTGCTGGCCGCTCTGCCGCCCTTAGCAGCCCGTCGCGCCGCCCTTAGCAGCCCGCGAGCCGCCCCTGCAGCCAGCGCGCCACCCCTGCAGCCCGCGAGCCGCCCCTGCAGCCTGCTCGCCGCCCCTGCAGCCCGCTCGCCACTCGCTTGCGGCCCACGCGCCGCCTTTGCAGCCCGCTCGCCGCTCGCTTGTGTCGAAAGAATGAACGAGAATGAATGCATTGAACAAAAAGTTGGGTACAAGTACTAACCCTAATTGTCTTGTACCCCTTATGGGCTACCCCACTATTGCCTACACAAAGTAAGCAATATAACATTCCGACACACCCCCATAAGCAAAGTGGGGGAGAACAAGTGGTCATAAGACCAGTCAAGAAAAGCAAAGCAAGCTCAGGGTGGATCACAAAGTCACCACACAGTCCGAGCACAAGAAAAGGGCCACAACGCCAGATCACATGCAGGGTTATATAAAGAGCACAAACAGTGCAGTGATCACAGCCTAGAAAGAGTAAGCATGCAGATACATATATACATAAATATATTTATATATATATATATATGTATAACAGTACAAGCAAAGTCAAGTAGTGAGCAAGTGAGGCAAAGTAGGCACAAGGCCTAAAACAGTAGAGAGGCGCTGATGATCACCAGAATGAAGTGCCTTGGTGAATATATCAGCAGTGTTGGCCCTAGTGGCCACGTACGCAAGACAAAGCTGACCACGCTGCTGCAACTCTCAAGCAAGGAAGTATCGTAGAGCGATGTGCTTCGTTCTGTGCTCCAGTCTGTGCTCCTGATACAAGGAAATCATGGCCTTGTTATCTACGTACATTGTTGGAGGCGAACGAGGCTGGTCTCTCAAGTCAGTCAGCAGGTAGGTGAGCCAGCGTAACTCCTGTGCAGCCATGGCCCCTACGTAGATCTCAGCCTCACAACTGGAACTGAGAACCGAAGACGAGCGGGTAGACCGCCAAGAAACAGAGCCGGAACCAAGGCTGAAAGTGTAACCCTGTGACGACCGTTGTGTAGCCAAGTCGTCAACCCAAGAAGCGTCTGTGTGACCAGTGAGGACAACTGGACCCCGTCCTCCAAGCACGAGCCCCATGCCCAATGTACTGCACAAGTAACGCAGTACCCTCTTCGCAGCACCCCAGTGCACCTTTCGGAGCCTACCGGGAGCCACGTAGTGAGCCAAGAGGCTGAGAGGGTACGCGAGGTCAGGTCGTGTGCACGCCATCAGGTACATGAGGCAACCCACAAGCTCTGGGTACGGACCACTCGGCTCTACGGACTCGTCCGAAGGTGGAGCTGAGAGCGAGTGGCCGGTAGACAGAGGAGTGGGCTGTGGCGAGGAGAACTGGAAGCCGAAGCGCTGAAGGACTTGGTGCGCCATGTGGGACTGAGTCAGGGTGATGGTGCGCCGTGCTCTGTCCCGGGTGATCTGCAATCCAAGATAGCTGCGCAGCTCACCCAGGTCAGTGCAGGTGTGTCTCTTCTGCAGCTCCGACTTCACAAGGGTCAGTGCCTCAATGTCAGCAGTGGCAAAGACCAGGTCGTCGACGTACACGAGGACGTAGAACGGCGGCAGCGAAGTGTCGGTGCGTAGAAACAGCGACAGGTCAGCAGTAGAAGGAGTAAACCCCAGAGCCGCAAATGTAGTCCTCAGTGTGTCGTGCCATTCGCGAGGCGCCTGGCGGAGACCGTAGACTGGCCGCCAGAGGCTCCACTGGGTACCTGCAGGAAACGACCCAGTGAAGCCAGATGGGCGGCGCAGCCAGATCTCCTTGAGCAGGCTGCCCTGCAAGAAAGCTGTACAGAAGTCCAGAGATTGCAGCTCGTAGTCACGCTGAGCAGCAACGTGCAGCAACACCCGAAGAGTGGTCATCTTCGGGATGGAGGAGAAGGTCTAGAAGTAGTCGACCCCCTGTCGTTGACTGAAGCCTCTAGCAACGTAACGCGCCTTGAAGGCAGGTGGAGAACCCGGCGGCCGCTTCACCCTGAAAATCCACATGCCATCGACTATGTTCGCCCCAGACGGGGGAAATGCATCGACGTTGGTGCCTGTGGACTTCCAGGATGCCATCTCGGCATCCATAGCTGTCTGCCACTGAGAGGAGGAAGGACCCGTAATCGCCTCTGCGTAAGAGCGCGGGGTCGGGATGTCTGGTGCATCCGGGTCTCCCTCAGGGGCAAGCAACATGGAAGCGAAACGAGGTACAGCAGCTGCAAGACACTCAAATTCCTCCTGTCTGTCCTCAAGGACGTCTGTGCCAAGAGCACACTCACCCTCAACGGATGGAGGACTGGCATACTCAGACGCAGCAACAAGAGCATCGGCGTAGTCTAGACGACAGGAGCAGCAACGAGGGCAGACGCAGCAGTGGACTCAAAAGAAGGGTTTGGACAACAGTGGCGAGGAGACGAGAGACAGTGGGACTGGCAGTACGAGCGAGGACATACTCAAGGTCAGGGATGGCAGGAAGAGAAACTCAGGAGGAGGCGGCAGAGGAACATGTAGTGGAACAGAGGAAGGACGAAGTGCCATAGCGTGGGTGCCAGGGACAGGGGGAGGACGCGGACGAGGAACGCGACGACAAGTGCAAACAGTGCAAACAGGTGAGGCAGGACGAGACTCAGGCTCACGACGCTCTGTAAGACCTCCGGTCTGCTCAGTGTAAGGAGAAGGAGCAGGTAGTGGGGAGGCTAGCTGTAACGGTAGCTGTGACTGGTCAGGCGGTGGACACAGTAAGGGAGGAGTAACTTCGGGAGAAGATGGGAGACCAAGAACCTGCTGAAGCAGGGGAACAAAGTACAGTCACGCCCGCACAGTGCCTCCAGCACCAGTACCGCCGGACACAGCACCCTCAGCTCCAGCCCCTCAAGCTCCAGGGTCAACAGCTTCAGTGTCTCCAGCTCCAGCTCCTCCAGCTCCAGCACCACCCGTGCCAGTGCCTCCAGCTCCAGCACCAACAACTCCGGTGTCACCAGCTCCAGCTCCTCCAGCTCCAGCGCCACCAGCGCCAGTGCCTCCAGCTCCAATGCCTCCAGGCTCCGCAGGGTCTCCAGCTCCAGCTCCTCCAGCTCCAGCGCCCCCAACACTATCAGACCCGGCAGCTCCAGTACCCCTGGTACGAGCACCTCCAGAACCAGCAGCTGGAAGACCTCCGGTACCACCAGCTCTAGCAGTAACTCCAGCACCTCCAAGACGAGCAACTCCAACACCTCCAGCTCCAGTGTCTCCAGCGGCAGAGTCTCCAGCTCCGGCAGCTCCACTCCGAAGGCGTGTGCGCTGAGCAAACCACTCGCGCAGCTGCTGCGGGGAGAGAGGCTCCGGTCGGGGAGACAGTCGTGGTGAAACACCTGCTGGACCTCCAGAAGAAGCAGTACCCCGAGGCTCAGTACCCCTAGACTCCGCACATTCAGACTCAGCACCCCCAGGCTCCACACCCTCAGGCTCAGCACCCCCAGGCTCCACACCCGCAGGCTCAGCCCCCCCAAGCTCCGCAACCTCAGACTCAGCACCCCCAGACCCGGCACCCTCAGACTCAGCACCCTTTGGCTCCGCACCCCTTGACGCAGCACCTCGAGCAGCACCTGAGCCGACAGCTACCTCAACAGGTACAGTACCAGGGAGAGGATCTACCTGAGACACACCTGAGGGAGCAGGACCCTGGGGTGGAAGGGGGTCTACCAGAGGGGGACCTGGAGCAAGGAAGAGCGGCGGGGGTGGGGGAGGGGTAGAGCGGTATGGGAAGAGATGGTAGAAGGGAACCGACTCATCAAACGTGACGTCCTGAGAGGGGAAGACACGACGCGAGGTGGGGTGGTAAAACTGCCAGCCACGCGCGTCAGGGGAAAAGCCAAGGAAGACGCAGGGAATAGCGCGGGCGGAGAGCTTGTCCGTGGACGTATCGCGAACAAAGGCACGAGAGCCCCAGACCCGGAACACCGACGTATCGCCAACCTGCCCCGTCCAACGTAGTGTAGGCGAGGTCTCCGGCAAGGAGACATGGGGCCAGAGGTTGAGCTGATGCACAGCGTACCGGACCGCAAACGGCCACAGAAAATGGGGAGCAGCCGCATGGATCATGGAGGTACGAGCGACCTCCATGACTAAGCCAATGCGGCGCTCAGCAATCCCATTTTGCTGAGGGGAGGCCAGAAGCATGAACGACTGGAGAATGCCCTCCCCACGACAAAATTCCTGCAAGAGGTCGGAGGAGAACTCACCACCTCTATCAGAGTGCAGACAAAGGACAGGAAGGTCCGTACGGAACCGCTTGCGGAGCTGGAGACGGACTGCGCGGTTCCAAGGGATCAAGACATCAAGGACCTCACCCTT